TAAAATATGGCGTGAACTGTTAGATTATTTAATAATCTATATGTGGCACATGTGATTAAAGGGTTGGTTCTAATTAAGGTGGCCCAAGATGATGGTTATTGGGCTTAATGGATAAGGACCAGTTAGGATTTTAATACCATTCCTCTGCCTTATAAAAATGGTTATGGGGCTTAATGGATAAAGCGACCAGTTAGGATTTTAATACCATTCTCTTTGCCTTATAAAAGATTAAGGAAATCAACAGCGTAGGTTAAGAGAGTGTGCGACTACCTCAAAACACATACGGGATAGGTTTTTGAGGAAGAGCGTGAAAAGAAAACTTCCGTGGGTGTTGATAATTTTCTCTGACTTCTCTGACCATTAAGAGAGCACTTACGGATAAAAGGCCAGAGTGAAGAAATATAGATCTGCTGTTACGGTGAGAATCGAATTGCCGCAACGAGGTAATCTATAACATAGATCTGCTGTTATGGATCAATGTACGCTTCTGCTTATTGTGTATTCTTATTGAACAAATTCTATGAACTATAAGATCTAGGCTATATTAAAGTTATTTTTAACATGTGTTATTAGAGCCTAGTCCCTATTCTAGATTTGTTAGATAGTGTTTTATTTGGCTTAATTAATGGAAATTAATTTTGTATTGTGAAGTTGATTTATCTAGTATAAATGAAGCCAAAATTATAGAAATTGAAAACTGTTTGTGTTCTTTATGCTTTATAAATTATTCTGCTTGTATTTATAAAAAGGAAGGTTATGACATCTTATTATGTTATATCGTTAAAGTTTTGAGATCTTAATTCAATCTCATAGAAGTTTTGCATATATCAATGTTTAATGAATGGAAAACTTGTTAGTCACCAAAGTGCCTTGTTTGGATTAATTTAGACATTGATTATGCAGCTTTCAATTGTTCATGTATGTGTGATGCCGTTAAATGACATGAAAGTTAAAATTGAACAATTAATTGAGATCATGATTATAATTTTGTTTAGGTTACCCAAAGGTAGACTTAATTTATCAATGGTATGAAAGAGACTTATCATTGTACTAAATTATATTGAATGTATATCCAAGATAACATGCATTATTGTATGGAAGCGCATTATGGAATAGTTGAAAGGAATAAAAAGAAACATAATTGACTTCTAGAGAGAAGCACGGGGCATGCTGCAATGAGCACGGCCGTGCCCTAACTTCCATAGAGAAGCACGGGGCGTGCTATAGTGAAGCACGGGCGTGCTTCTTTTTGACTTGCATAAAGGTTCGCAAGTTGCTCCACATCAATGAAAGTCTGTTTGAATCCATTTTATGTTTACTCAAAGTATTAACGTATGAGTATATGTATAATGTTGCAGCTTCTTTTAACATGTTTGTTATGGGCATTGGGTTGATTAAGTTCAATGTTAAGTTCAATGGATTTGAACTATGCTGAATTGGTCCGAACAAAATCCATTATCAGTTAGGAGTTTCTGGACTTTCGGATTGGTATAGTCTCCGAAAAAGCCAGCAGCATTACGAGACCAGCACTGAAAGCTGACAAGTTTCCCTTATTGAGGCTTGGGACGGTCTAACAGGCTGAGCTTAACTAATGAGGATGACAATGGCTGAAAATGTTGAAGCCATTTAATGCCCAGAAACAGACCATTGCTAGAGAGTACATGCATGAAAAATTAAGGGAATTATTCCAATCGGACATTAGGCTGATAAGTCCATCGTAGATCCTTGATGAGTGATGCTAACGGACGAAGAAGGTTGATTTGGTCACAATCCATTCATGATCATGTGACTTGGCATGCAGAATTTGGCTGCAAACTGAAATCAATGGGGATGGATGTGAGTGAATCCTTTTTAGTTCAATTTTATTATTAAACTCACTTCCTTTGAGTTTGGTCAGTTCCAGGTGAATTACAACACCCTTAAGGAAAAATGGAACATTCAGGAAATCAAGGCCATGTTGATACAAGAGGAAGGAGATTTAAGAAATTGAAGGAACACTCTATCAATCTCACATTCATAATGGAGCTAATAGCAGCAACAACAAATCAGGGAAGAAAGGCGAAGAAAGGCAAGAAAAGGGACAGTGCCCCTATGAAGGTTAATGAGGGCCAAATCCGATGTTTTGAATCAAATCTTATTGAAGTGCCTAATAATACCTAGTGGTTAGATTCTGGTGCAACTACTCATGTGTCTCATATTATACAGGGATTTCTTTGGATCCAACCCATAAACGAAACTAAAAACTTCCTATACATGGGGAATATAATGAAGGCACGAATAGAAGGAATTGGGACTCATAGATTGATCCTGGACACTAGTTGTTCTCTGGATCTTGAAAAGTGTCTCTATATTCCTGAATGTGCTAGAAATTTAATTTCTGTAGGGAGGTTGGACAATGTTGGTTTCAGTTTTAAGATTTGTAATGGTGTTTTTTTATTATACAAGCATAAGTACTATTATGGTTCTAGTATTTTGATTGACGGTTTGTATTGTTTTAATCTTGATGCTGAATTTATTGAATCCCTATTTAATGTTGAACACAATATAGGTAATAAACGTAGTGCACATAAAGAATGTTCTGCTTTCTGCTTTCTGTGGCATCAAAAGGTTAGGTCAGGCATATCGAAAGAAAGGATTTTGAGATTAGTAGAGGTGAACATCTTAGCCTCAAAACTTGGACTTGCGCTGAAGCTAGGACGTGGCGTACAAAATTGCATTAAAGGTGAGGGGCAAACTAAGCCACACATTAAAGAATCCAGGCCACAAGAAGGCAGTGATTGGGCTTGAAAGAAGCAGTGAATTGCTTGAACTTGTACACACTGATATATGTGGTCCTTTTGATGTTCCCTTTTGGGGTGGTGAAAAATATTTTATTACCTTTATCAATGATTTCTCACAATACGGTTATGTATATTTGCCGCATGAAAATTCTCAATCATTGGATATCCTTGAGATATTCATTAATGAGGTAAAGAGGCAGTTAAATAGAAAAGTTAACGTGGTGAAGAGTTAAAGTTGTGAGATCTGATAGAGGTGGTGAATATTATGGTAAGTTTAATGAAAATGGACAATGTCCAGGTCCATTTGCAAAGTTTCTTGAAAGTTGAGGCATATGTGCGCAATACACAATGCTAGGTACACCTCAACAGAATGGTGTAACTGAAAGGCAGAATCATACACTTATAGAAATGGTTAGAAGTATGTTAAGTAATAATACTGTACCTTTATCATTATGGATGCATGCATTAAAGACCGCTGCATATTTGCTTAATAGGGTTCCTAGCAAAACAGTTCCTAAGACCCCTTATGAACTGTGGTGTGGACGGGAAGGAAACCTAAGTTTAAGAGCATCTTCATATTTGGGGTTGCCCAGGGGGCAGAAGTAGGATATAAATAATCCACATGAAAAGGAAGGGCTTGATGCTAGAATGGTCCAGTTGGATTGTTAGATGTATTTATATAATCTATATGCCGTGGGCCGCATGTGTTAAAGGGTTTGGTTCTAATTAAGGTGGCCGCAAGATGATGGTTATTGGGCTTAATGGATAAGGAACCAAGTTAGGGTTTTTAATAGGCGGCCTTCCTCTGCTTATAAAAGATTAAGGAAATCAACAGCGTAAGGATAAGAGAGTGTGAGGCTACCTCAAACACATACGGTGATAGATTGTTTGAGAGAGCGTGAAAAGAAAGCCTTCCGTGGTGTTGATAATTCTCTGACGCATCTTAAGAGAGAACTTACGGACAAAAGGCTCAGCGTGAAGAACACATAGATCTGCTAATACACATACGGTGATAGATTGTTTGAGAGAGCGTGAAAAGAAAACTTCCGTGGTGTTGATAATTCTCTGACCATTAAGAGAGAACTTACGGACAAAAGGTCAGCGTGAAGAAACATAGATCTGCTAATACGGTGAGAATCGAATTGTCGCAACAAGGTAGTCTATAACATAGATCTACTGTTACGGATCAAGGTACGCTTCCGCTTATTGTGTATTCTTATTGAACAAATTCTGAACTATAAGATCTAGGCTATATTAAAGTTATTTTTAACATGAACCACAATGAGTCAAACTAAGCTTTCCTATAAAATCAATAGTACAACTTATGGAAAATATATATACACAACAATTTCCTACATAATGATCAACCCTTCGGTAAATAGATTGTCCTATCTATACAAACACATAGAATACTTTATTTAACTATAAAAATATCATTAAAATGCATCATTCAAAATACCATTTAATTTAAATATCATGTTAAATCCTTTTGTAGAATATCAAAAGATAACATGTAATATATCAGAAGAGATTTAGTTAAAAATCTTTCCATCTCATAATGACAACTTGGGTTATCACGTTCTGGAACCCACCACAATAGCACCACACATACTTTCAGATTTCACTGCATATTTGTTTACTTCGTGCTATTAGAGCCAATGAGATAGCGATAGCGAGACTTACCAAGATAGACAAGATGGAGGATATCGGGTAGGAATCAGAGGCGGACAAAGAGTAAGATGAGAAATTAGTAGTGGCGACTGTGGGAACGATCGGTGATAAAACTTAGTGCTTTGAGGCCGATGCCAAAGCATAAATGATCGCAAAAACTGGAGAACATGATGATGGCGGTGTATGGATTATGGTCCAAAGATGAGAGGCGTCAAAGGGTTTGTTAGATTTGTAAGGCTTAAGGATTAAAGTTAGAATTTCAACTCTAATGAAGTCATGTGACTTTCATGCGCATATTCTTTCTTCAATATTTGATAAATGAATTGGTGCCTAGGCAACATGTTTTAATTGGATGGATGAGCCAAATCGTCCTGTTTGGAAATTCGGCCCGTCACATGGACATTTGATTGATCAATTTTTTTTTAATTTGAATACTTAATTACAAAATTTTTTTCGTTCAAATGCCAAAATGAAAAAATTTTTAAATAGTTGGACAACAAATTTATTATTAACCTATATATATATATATATATATGAATTATCTTTGGTTGAGCAGACCAAGACTCTGCTGCTTTTACTGAAATGCCATCATAATCTCCTCCCTCCTTCCTTCCCTCTCTTTGCAATTTTATGAACTCCCTTGTTCATCGCTGTATTCATCTTCTTCCCAAATATAAAAACTGAAATAAGAAACAACCAAGATATCAGATTATCAAGGTGATTCAAATAAAAAATTGGTTTATCAAGTGAGTGGATTCGGATTAACATTTTTTCTCCTTGTCTTCGATAAATACTCCATTACGCTGTCTTGAATCTTGATTATGCGATGCTGGCCTCCAAGAAAGCTTTGGATAAGCTTTACCGTCATTACACTCTATTGTCTAATCCTACCTATTTCCCCTTGATGATTAATTCGGATAATAGCTGCTGCTTCCATGGAAACACCTCGTTTCAATCGAATTTCTCTTTAAAAGGTGCCAAGTAAGAACTTGCCTTTTATCTTTTCAGTATTCAAATCATACCCATTTTTCTGATTCTGTTTTTCTTGTGGGTACTGACATTTGAGGTTTGTAATTGCGTGTATGTATATTTTTGAAATTTCATGTTATATATGTGGAATTTAAGTATAGTCTAGATATTTCTGTTAAATAAGATATTAGAATCTTTTTGTTAGGTTGAATGAAAGGCAATACAGGTGGTCTAACATTTGTTATTTTTCTTCATAAAAGTTTGTACAATATGTTTTGTTATAGAGAACGAAGCAGAAGCATCTATTGTTTTTCTTTACAAGATTCACTCATTGGGGAATGACACAGTGTAATCATGTTATAGAGAGCTAATCATAAGCATCTATTGTTCTTCCTTGATGATTTCAATAGAAATATTCCAAACAGAATAATGATTATTGAATTTGCTGTTCTTACTTTTATTCACATTCCATTGCAGTGAATCACAAGGGACAATGTTATGGAGTGGACAAAGACGAAATATATCTCGAGTTGGTTTGCAATGGAACTCTATGGAAATTGATAATGTTTCTTGTCATGATTGGCATTTGTCAAAACGCTATTATAACTCTAACCCAAATGACAAACACTCCAGGGAATTTGCAAATAAGGTGAAGCAACTCTATAAAAAAAATTTTCTTTCCTATGTAGATATTGCAGAAAATGTTACTATAAGTGATTTCGGTAGTTATATTGAGACTTACATCTCCTTTAATCTTAGGCCTATTGATTAAACAGGTTCACTATGAGCTGGATTTGTTATTTATTTACTTGCTATGTTTAGTGAAGCATGTGATATTGTCTGCAACCTATTTAGTTCTTGTGCTTTGAGATTCTCTTGTCATGTTTTCCATGTTTCATGATACATTTCAGTTTCTTGTGCTAATGCGATGCTCGATTCTGCAGCTTTTAAAAAGCATTCCAGAATATGTTAAGATAGTGGAAGTAGGTCCGAGGGATGGATTACAGAATGAAAAGGAGATTGTACCTACTGCTGTAAAGGTTGAGTTGATTAGGATGCTAGTTTCTTCAGGGTTGCCTGTTGTTGAGGCTACAAGTTTTGTCTCGCCAAAATGGGTACCACAGGTAGGAGAGGGTTGAGTTTACTGAAAAAATAATCTGACTTTTTTGGAAGATTGTTTTGCTTGCCTATAATTAAAGAGCTTACACAAATCTCTTGGCTTATTCTCATGCAAATTAGTTGTCCTGTTATGTTAACATAGTTTTCTGTATTGGCTTTCTATTTTCTTCTTTGTATTTCTAAATCCGTGTTGTTTCTCTTCTCTAGTGGAAAAGCCTTTTTCAGCATTTCCTTATTTTTCAAATTATTTATTTTTTCTAATATAGAGTTTTCTGAATTTGTTTGATGTATATTCTATTTTTTTTGGCGGTTCACAACATTATTGGTCTGTTCTTTTGAATGGAGAAATTTAATTATTTTGGTTTCAATCATCTAAACTCTTCATATGCAAGTTCTGTGTAGCTTCTTGACACTGAATAAGTTGCCAATGGAAAGTGCCTCCCCTTATGAGGCCCATAATATTTCTCCAACTACTAGAGATGGAAATTTTCCTGCATCGCTCCTGCTTAGGGAAGACACAATTTTCTTATTATTTATGATTTTTTTTTTTTTTTTATTTTGATTGGGAAATTTCTTTTAAAGGATTTTGATAAATTATTTTCTTGGGATGTTGCTAATGGAATGTTAATATTTGAGTTATCCTGGGTCTTGAATTTCTAGAGTGATGTCTTCCAAATGCCTATTAACATCCATGGTAATGTTCCCAGCAGCCCAACAACTGCTAAGTTGTCTCTCCTTTTTTCTGATCATTTTTCCTCTAATCACACTTGGCAAACAAAGCTTAGACCTCAGGCTTAAGCTGCTGACTTGAAAAACCCTTATTCTTTGCTTTCAATCCTAGCTCTTCTTTGTTATTAAATCCGAACATAAATCATATACCTAATTGATATCTGTATCCTAATCCTACTTATTGCTTAATTTTTATTCCTAAAATATCTATCAATTGTTCAAGTTTTGCCTATCATAAGAGCGCTAGTTCTCAAATTATCTATGGTCCTGCATGATTGTTTTACAGCTAGCAGATGCGAAAGACGTAATGGCAGCAGTTAGGAATTTTGAAGGAGCTCGACTTCCAGTATTAACTCCTAATCTGAAAGTAAGCAGCTGCAATTAGAAATTGATGGAATCATACACAGTATAAAACTTAATGAAGGATTTACTGATATTTTATGTTTTTCTCTTCCAGGGTTTTGAAGCAGCTGTTGCAGCTGGAGCTAAAGAAGTTGCCATATTTGCGTCAGCTTCAGAATCTTTTTCAAAGTCGAATATCAATTGCACCATTGAAGATAGTTTGGTTCGTTATAACGATGTTTCCCTTGCTGCCAACAAGCTCTCAATTCCTGTTCGTGGGTATACCTTTTTACCCTGGTCCTGGAAACCACAAATATTTGCATTGAGTTCTAAAATTGAAGTAGTTCTAGCGGAGTCTATCTGAATGTGATTCTCTTGAAATTCATTTTATTTTTTAACGTTTGGTTATGGACAATCTTAAAGAAGATATCATACCTTTAGAAGAGAGGTTTCTTAAATAATACGACGCATTATGATATATTGCATTCAAAATGGTGAGTTTTTTAGGACTTCTCCGTATACATGATGGATATTTCTTTCTGGTTTTGCCATAAAACTTTGCTGAATTTTCTTCTTGAAATTTTAATTTGATGCATGGTTCATATAGAATACATAAGTATTATGTGACAAATCTGAGAAGTTTCAGACATAAGGCTGAATTGTTTTAATTGCAATTTATGTATTGATTATTTTTCCTCATGAAAATTGAAGACCTAGATTAACCAATACCTTTTGTTTTTTTATCTTATTATTAGATATATATCATGTGTTGTGGGGTGTCCTGTCGAAGGAATGGTATCTCCATCAAATGTTGCATATGTGGCTAAACGACTTTATGAAATGGGTTGCTCTGAAATTTCCCTGGGGGATACAATTGGTGTCGGTACTCCTGGTAATGCCTGAACCTGCCTTTGGCTAATACTATTGGTGTTAATTCCCTTGTGCAGTAGTTAGCAGCAGCACTAGCATGTATCTTAGTGTTTTCAAATGCATGTCCTAGGTGCAAGGTTCAAACTTAAAAGCATCAGGGGGCCGGGGGGGGGGGCTCTGAAATTTCCGCTGGGGGATCACAATCTGGTGTCGGCTCACTCCTGGTAAATGCTGCACCTGGCCTTTGGCTAATAAACTATTGGTGTTTAATTCCCTTGTGCAGTAGTTTAGGCAGCAGCACTAGCATGTATCTCTTAGTGTTTTCAAATGGCATGTCCTAAACGGTGCAAGTTCAAACTTAAAAAAGCATCAGGGGGGCCGGGGGGGGGGGGGGGGGGGGTGTGTGTGGAGAGAGAGAGAGAGTTAATAGGGACTGGTATATTATTTTTCTCCTTTATCCTTTATTCCTGCCCCCTTTCCTTTTATTCACATTTTTCTTTTGTTAAAACAATTTCTAAACGCACCCATTTCTCTCACCGTCTTATTTCAGTTTATTGTTATGTTTCCAATGACTATTTTTTGTTTAGTAGCTATACATAACAATATTATGAGTTCAAAAAAAAAAAAAAGTTATAAATAACCTGTTTACACTGCAATATATCTATTTTTTGCAACATCCCTTTACTTTCCAAAACAGAATTGGACCAATTACTATTATGATCAAATAAAATATAAATATTAAAACTCGAATTTTGAAATGTTACTCTAAATTTAGTACACCCATGTTATTGGCTTGTAAATCTTACAATTTATAGTTGTTTATAACAAAGAATAGCCAAACTAAGACAGACCAACTTGATACCTTATTATGCACATAGATTTTGGGGTACCCCTTACACGTGGGAAAATAATATATTTTATTATGAAGATGGTAAAATTTGAAAATAAGTTCTATTGAGTTGAAACCAAATAAAGTAGTATTTTCCTACTGTTTGGCATGTGAGACTAATGCTTCTCAATGGGAACAAAAATAAAAATCAAGGAAATTATTTGGTCCTTCTATACTAGTAGCAAATTGGATGCTATTAGTTACCTCCCCTAATATGCCTAAGAATCCAAAATCACGATTGTCATTCCCCCCCAAACCATAGTTTACAATTTCATGTCCAAGTTCTGGATTCATTTTGGTCAATAGAGTTTTTGATTAGTTCATTATTGGTGAGTAATGTAATGTTTCACAAAAGGTTGTATTTCAGGCTGTTTAGATTATCTTAAAACTGCTATTACTGAGAGATGAGAATTTTGAAAAGTGTTTTTAATGATGGAAACAAGTTGCTCTCAACATCATTGCTTGGCAAACTTCTCTTGCTTTGACCATAGGACCTTATTACTATGGCACTCCCATAACACCATGTGGATTCTTTGTGCTCAACCTGAGCAAGAGCTTACCCCAAAAAGAGAATGAAACAATTAACTACTTAAACTTTTAGTCGTTTCACTGTTATTTTGGTTTTATTTCTTTGTTCCAGGTACTGTCATTCCAATGCTTGAAGCTGTTCTCGATGTTGTCCCTATCGATAAGCTTGCTGTCCACTTTCATGACACTTATGGCCAAGCTCTGTCAAATATTCTCGCATCACTCCAAGTGAGCAGTTTATCTTCATGTTTTTTACTTGCAAACAAGTCTTGGCGTATTCCTGATACCTATGTTTTCATGTTCAAAGGAGATTAGTTTTTCAAATAATAGTACTTCCTCTGTTTTCCTTATATGGAGAAAGTTTCTAATTAGGGTGTTTTTTTTAGGCTAAACCTACAAAAAATACCATGATCTTGCAATAACACTCTAAATTGACTTTTGTTCCCTTGGCACCCCAACTTAGAAACTTAAAAATATTGTCACCCTAAATTCAAAATCAGCTAGGATTTATAATAAAATAATACAAAAATGGGTCCCACCAAACGAGCTTGGGTTAACTTAACCCAAGCCCCTAAAAATAACAAAAACACACAATTTGGATCTCCGCCAAAACGCCGACGAAAAAACAAGCTAATGACTTTTTGCGCAGAACCATCCAATGGAAATTTGCAATACGCAAAGAGACTCTTCAATTACATACATAATCCATCTTCACTCATCTACAATCTCTTGATCGAAGCATTCGCAAAGAAATGTCGCTATAGAAAATCTCTTTTGCACTTAAATTGAGAGAAAATGGGCCATGGCCTGATAATTTCACTTACCCATTTGTTTTTAAGGCAATTGGATTTTAGGAGAGGTTTTAGAGGGTGAAAAGATATGTGGGTTATTGGTGAAAATTGGGTTGGAGTTTGATATATATGTATGCAACTTTGCTCGTTGACATCTATGCTCAATTTGGTCTAGTTGATGATATGAAGCAGCTATTTGATGAAATGTTTGATAGAGATGTGATTTCCTAGAATGTGATGATTTCTGGATATATCAAATGTAGAAGATTTGAGGACGTTATAAATGTTTTTTGTCATATGTGAGAAAGAAGGGGATCGATGGAGATAGGAGAGAGAAATTAGGGATTTTGGTTTTATGAAGGCTAAAACTAGGGGTGGCCATGGTTCTGGAATCTCCTGTTCCGATCTCAAATAATGTGGAACCAGAATCGAACCGGAAACTGACAGTTCCAGTTTCGACTTCTTAATGGTTCTAAAAGCGACGATTTCGGACGGCTCTCCGACCGGTTTTCCGTGCGGTTCGCATAATTTCAAAACAAAAAAAATCTAACTTACACAAGTACCCTTAACATAACTGGACGTTATAAAGCCGTTTATAGTTGTTAAGAGGGTTAATTTGGTGATTTTGATAAAAAATTTTGAAAAAATAAAAAAAAATGTTGAAACTGGTTGGAATCGCTGGATTTAACTGGTTGTCAAAACCTTCAGTTCCGGTTGGTTCTCGAATCTTTCGGTTCACGATTCTAAAAAAAAAAAAAAAAAAAAAAAAAAAAAAAAAAAACAGCTTCAGTGTCTCTGAGGTTGGTATCTCGATCTTTCGGATTCACCGAATTCTAGAAAAAAAAAAAAAAAACGAAAAAAAAAAAAAAATTTAGAACTCGCAAAGCCAACCGCAACCTCTTCGATTACGTTTCCAGTTAAAAAAAAAAAAAAAAAAAAAAAAAAAAAAAATTTAGAATCGAAACCAACCGCAACCTCTCGATTACGGTTCCAGTTTTGGCCGGTTCTGGCTCCGCACGGTTCCGGTTTTGGTTACAACCAGTTTCGAACTGAGAGTTCCAGTTCCAAAAACCAGAATTTGGCCACCCCTAACTAAAACTGTGTTTTTTTGTTATTTTTAGGGGGCTTGGGTTAAGTTACCCCAAGCTGGTTTGGTGGGACCCATTTTCATATTATTTTATTGTAAACCATAGTTGATTTTAAATTTAGGATGACTATTTTTAAGTTTCTAAGTTGGGGTGCCAGTGGGACGAAGGTCAAATTAGAGTGTTATTGTAACAAGTCGCAAAATTCGGGGTATTTTTGTAGGTTTAACGTTTTTTGTATGGAGAAATTTACTTGATTTGGAAACTTAGAGAAAAATGTCAAAAGAAAATGACTATAATGCCCTTAACCTAGCTATATTATTTGCATTAATTTTGTGAGAAAAATGAGATAATGACAGACAAAACATGGGTTATGTATTTAATGTCCTCATGTTTCCCGAAGTAGAATTGAAGGTGTATTCTCTTTTATTCAGTGCAATTCTACTTTTAATTATGAAGCACGTATTTGTTCATGTTTTCACGCAATTATATAGTACAAGAGAGTTAATGATGTATGCACTTGAATCATATAGGCACGAATTTGGGTAAAATTTTATATATGGATGTGTAATATGGTCAGAAAATTATTTAGAAACACAACAATTTCAACAGGTTTACCTTATTTTGTATTTAGACCTTATCAATATATGCACAAAATTTATTTATGTGGACATATTGAAGAAGTTCAAGAGACTGTTTCATGAATAAAAAATTTTGGCTGCACAATTTTTTTTCATTTTTGTGCACATGTTTTTTTCTGAATGCACAACACTTAATGTCAAGAGGGAAGTTAAAAATTTGAAACAAATTTCAATCTTAGGGAATGAATTTTGCTGATTGTAACACAATTAGCTCAACCATTTCCCTTCAATTTGCCTGTAAAAACATGCATTAAATACGCCCTTGGGAGAAGGAAAAAGTGAGTTGGCTGACATTGAAAATAACATAAAATTTAATAGTGTTCCAGGGGCAAATTAGGAAGAAAATGGACAAAATACTCAGTTGAACTACCTCATTAATCGTTGTGAAAATTCTGTTATCCCTTTATAAAGAGAACAAAAGGAGTAATAATAATAATAAGAGCAAAATATTTTGAGGTCCCTAAATTATAGTCAAATTAATACTTACATTCTTCTATTATTAATACATAGCTTTAATGTCCCTGTGACGATTCTGTCATATAACTAGGTCCTTCCATCCCTTTTGACTCAAACTCACCGTGAACTTTCAAATAAAAGAACAAAACGAGGAGATATAATATATTTAAATTCCCAAACTGCCCTCAGAGAGAAGGACTAAAGGATTCAACTCATTCTTCCAAAATCCAATATTTAATTAATTTTTCTTCAACTTACATAGAATTACGGCATAATTAATAACACAAAAACAAGATTCATGCATCAAATACAAGACTTGTCTACTTCGTCATAAGTTAAAAAATAAAACATAAAAATTTAATTTTTTTTTCTATCTTTTTCCATTGCCATAGATGTGTCCAACCAAAAATCCAAAAGCTTTACAGAGCCATTAGAGCAGCAAAACCATAAAAAAAAAAAAAAAAAAAAAAAAAAAAAAAAAAAAAAAAAAAAAAAAAAAAAAAAAAAAAAAAAAAAAAAAAAAAAAAAAAAAAAACAGATAGAAAGTGCTAAATTTTGGGCATTCGGATGAGACTTTTATTAATGATGTTGTTATCAGTTCCATATTAGATGGCCGAGATACAATATCGACTTTTTTGACATGGCTTTTAAGAGATAAAGGAGAGATCGAAGAATCAAATTTTCAAAGAAGTGAAGGATTTGGTTTATGCACATGCTTCTTTATGAAAGCATATAAGATTGTACCCAATTCGGAAAGACTACAAATTCGCCATCAATGACTTTTTACCTAGCCGGAATGCCAGTGAGCAAGGGACATCACTGTGATTGGATGGATTTCAGGCCAAAAAATTGGCTAGAGAGATATATGCAGTTAATGAGAAATGGAGATGATTTTGAGTTTAACGATGGCTATTTCCTCATCTGGTATATGAATCTTTGTTATTTCGGGAGAGATTTATATACTTATATTTCGGGAGAGATTTATATACTTATCTGGCATTTCAAGCTGAGTCTAGGATTTGTTTGGGGGAAGGAAATGAATTTCTTTGCAAATGAAGAGGGTGGTTGTCGGTGTTCTAAATAGCTTTAAGGTGGTGTTGGTGGCGGAGATGATTTTGAGCCAGAGTTTATATGACGAGTTAAGAAGATCAGTTCTGCCATGAGTCCAATAGCAACAGTTCTGCTGTGAGTCCAATAGCGGCGATAAATTTTGTAGAAATGATAGGGCTGAGAAAGAGGGAAGATAGTTAAATCACATTATCCTTTTTTCTTTAATAAAGGTTAATTTGGACATTTTACATCTCTTTAACAGTGAATTTGAGTCGAAATGGATGGAAGGACCCATTTATATGACGGGATGTAATTTAGGGATGGAAAAACTATTTGTTAATAATAGAAGGACGTAAGTATTAATTTGAGTATAATTTAGGGACCTTAAAGTATTTTACTCTAATAATAATAATAATAATAATAATAATAATTCCTACATCTTTGTTTCTGTTTGTTAAGGATTAGTTGTAAATAGAACTCTATTAGGAGTTAGATTCCTAATAGGTTTATAGTATCTTGTATGTGTATACATGTGTCCCTATTGATGAATCAAATATAAGAAAATATTTTTCCACACTAAATCTACATAGTATCAGAGCCTGTGGATCTTTAAACTTGATTTTTGCCGTTTGCATCCGTTTGCATAGAAAATTCCACCGCGTTCCTTCAAAATCCGTCACCCGGATTTCCCTGCGCTGTAGGGTTGGCTGTTAGTGTTGGTGATGTTCTATGGGTCACTGTTTTGTCTCACCGCCCACTCCAGGAGCTGCTCCAGCTGCCGACCAGTCTTCCCTCAAAATCCGGTCACCGGATTCCTTGCGCGTGGGCCTCACGTGTCGATACAAGGTTCTGCTACAGTACCACGCGCCGGGGCGTGGTGGCGCGTTCGGCTGTTTCCAGTGATCGGAAATTGCTTTCTAGCTTCGTTTTTATGTCAACAGTCTACTCAGGTAGTTGTTTTTCCGATCCGGCGAAGTTTTGGTAGGGGCGTACTCAGTTCTGTCAATTTGGCGTTTCAGGTTACCTTTCGCTCCTAGTTGCATTGAAAGACTATTTTTTTTTGTGTCTATTTCTGCGTTGCTGGTAGGGTGTTTAGTTTTTATTAATAATGGATCCTCCACCTACAGATTTAATAATGGATCCTTCCACCTACAGATTCTAAAACTAACTATTACTTGGAATTGATCCCAGCAATGAATAAGAACAACATCGCGTGAAGAACAATACATTGAAAAGGAACTAATTATTTAGATTGGAGTAAGACAATTTGAATTTATTTGCGAAAGTGTTGAAAAAGATTTGATCATTCTAATTGCAATGACCCAACAACTGATGACACTAGGCAACGTGGCTCAGGGAAGATGTCATATAAAAATTAATTTCTACTGACGCTAGAAGATGCTAAGTTATTTCTACTGATTCGCAATTCTATTGACAGTGAAGTGGTTGGGTTAATCAATCATTGTGAGTTTGTTAAAGAATTAATGAATATCTTGAATTCTTGTACTCGGGAAAAGGTAATCTAACTCGTATGTATGAGGTCTGCAAAGGATTTTATCGAGCCGACCAGCAAGATAAGCCCATTACAGCTTATTTCATGGAATTTAAAAAGATTTATGAGGAAGTTAGTGTTTTATTGCCTTTTAGTCCCGATGTTAAGGTTCAACAGACCCAGCAAGAACAAATGGCTGTGATGAGTTTCTTTGCAGGTCTTGCACCGGTTTTTGAAATTGCCAAATCACAGGTTCTCTCAAGCAGTGATGTTACCTCTCTTCAGGAGACTTTTGCTAGATTGCTACGTACTGAGGGTTCTCATACCCCTTCCCTTTCTGATAATAGTGCCCTTGTGAGTCGTAATCAGGTAGCTAGACAGCCAGGAAATAGAGAAAGAGGAGGAAATAACCATAGTAATGGACCAATTACTCGGGAGGCAAGTATTCTTATCGGCCATTATTGCCATGAACTTGGTCACACTAAACGGTATTGCAAAAAACTGATCAATAAGCCACCTAGGGTAAGTATGGCCACTCAAGAGTTTGCAGTTACTTCTTTTGATAACACTGTAACAATTTCTATTGCAGAGTATGCTGAGCTCTCTAGATACCGTTCTTCTAAGCCTACTGATTCCTTGATTGCTGCTGCTGCCAATTCTGGTACTCCTCCTTCATGTCTTATGTCTACCTTAAGAATCGCCTTTCTTCAATGGGGATCTTCAGGAAGGAAGTCTTTACATAGAAGCAACAACCAAGGTTTTTGTTGCTCAGGGGGAGTCGGGTAAAGTGTGTAAACTTCGAAAATCTCTGTTAATGGCCTAAAACCAGAGTCCTCGGATGAAATGGAAGGCCGGGTTTCGAATCCCCTTTTGGGAGTTAGTTCATCCTGACCTGTTTGGGGTCCATGTCACCAGTTATTTTCTAAACTGGCTTTTCGGTATTGTGTAACTTTTGTGGATGATTATCCCTGTGTTACTTTCTGTTATTTTTAATGAAAACTCGTTCTGAGATATTCTCTATTTATGTCCTGTTCTTTGTTGCTGAAATTAAAAAACTCAAATTTAATAACTTCTGTTCCAAATATTGCCACTTCAGTGATAATGCTAAAAGAATACCTATCTAGTTCCCTTCCAATCTTAATATGTCAACAAAAATGGGTAATCTCCAATCAAAACATCTATGTGTTGATACCCTTCTCAAAATGGGGTTGAGAAAGAAAAAGAAATCGACAATCTTCTTGAAGGTGCCTAGGGCATTCTATTGCCAATGAAGGTCCCCCTAAACATTTTTGTGGCTGATAGCCTGCTCTACACATGGTATCGAAGCTCTCTAGAGGGAAGAGGAAGGAAATTAATACTGTAGTAATGGAACCAATCATTCTGTAATTTTGATGAAGTACTAAAGACGGTTTGATTCACTTGTGGTTTAAATGTTGATGACATTGTTATTACATGGGAGTGATTCAGCCGACATATACATCACTCAATCATCTTTCCTAGACCCCCTCAGTTCCAGACCAAAAGACTCTTGGGATTGGTGAAGCAATTAAAGGGTATTGAAGTATTCTAGGTGTAGAGAGACATCTTCTTATCCCAAAGGAAGTATGTCCTTATTAAACTGGAAAGTTGGGTGCCAAGCCATGCAGTGCTCCAATGACTCCAAATTTGCAACTTTCAATTGGTGGTGAGCTATTTGATGATCCTAAGATGTATATAAGGTTAGTGGGCAAATTGAATTATCTTATCGTAACACGTCTAGATATTGCTTACTCTGTGAGCGTCTTAAGCCAGTTTATGTCTTCTCCTATTGTTATCCATTGGGATGCTTTAGGACAGATTTTGTGCTACTTGAAAGGTAATCCAGGTCGTGGCCTGCTTTACAGTAATCATAGGCATTTGAACATTGAATGTTTTTCAGATGAGTAAAGATCATAGGCGATTTGAACATGAATGTTTTTTTCAAATGCGGATTGGATAGGTCGAATAGGGTTGATAGAAGATCAAACTTCAAGGATATTGTGTTTTTTGTTAGGTGGAAAACCTTGATATCATGGGAGGTGGAGCAAGAAATAAATGTGGTCTCACGATAACGAGTAATGAATCAGAATATCGAGCTCTAATGGCACTAAAATTCTGCTTGTGAATTTTAATTGGATTCTTCGTCTAGTTGTTAGAAATGGAAATGGCTTCTCAATGTCATTCCTTGCCTTTGTCAAAAGTATTGGTGGTGACATATCAAGCTTGCTCTTCACATTTGTCATTTTTCAAATCCATGTATTCATTCCATGAACGACTTTACAAAACATTATCGTATTGATTTGATTTTGTCCATTATTTCATTCGTGATAAAGGATATCTATATCTATTTGGTGTTATGGGTTATCCTCTACAGGACAAAGACGTTTAAATAACATAGTGAATCAAGTTAGGAGATATCTTTACAAAAGCCTCTAAAACGGACGCGACCTGGGGTTGACTATTCCTTTTGTAACAAGTTAGGATGGATTAATAATCTATTGCTCCAATTTGAGGGGAGTGTTTAAGGATTAGTTGTAAATAGAAACTCTATTAAAGAGTTAAATTCCTAATAGGTTTTATAGTATCCTTGCAATGTGTAATAATACATGTGTCCCTTATTGATGATTCATATAAGAAAAATATTTTTCCACACTAAATCTAAAAAACAACTGTTTAAGCTGCCAAATGAATGTCACAACCCTATGGAGGCAGGAGGCGCGGCCTGTCTGTTTTTTTTTTTTTTTTTTCCTCTGTTTTGCTGAGATTTTGAGCTTGTTATTACTGGTTATAGATTATAGATAATCTATAGGGTTGTTCACCAGCTATGTGGTAATTTAATCAAGATGCTTCACTTGGTGTATGATTTCTTCTTTTATTTGCAAACAATAATAATAAATAACTCCTTACAAATGAATACTGTAAGGATTAGTTGTAAATAGATTCTATTAGGAGTTAGATTCCCTTAATTAGTTTATGATTTGTATTCCTAAATAGCCTATAGGAATTCCTTATAGTATAGACTATGTAAATTCGATTTGATGAGAAACGAAGAAATACCAATTAACAATATATCTCTCAAAACATTGGTATCAGAGCCTTCCATTGAGACAAAAAAAAAAAAAAAAAAAAAAAAAAAAAAAAAAAGAAATTTCCCGAAACTTCCCTTACGGGAAGCCACTGCCACCCTAGGAAGCCTTTCTAGGGTTAGTATTTTGCCTCACCGCCCACCCCAGGATATTCTCCAGCCGCTGATCAGCGACTCCCCAGAATCCGGTCGCTGGATTCCAAGCGAATGGCCACCACTCGCCACCTCTTTCTTCTTGCTTTGGTTCATGTGCTGGCGCCTGTCCAATGGTCTTTTTCACTTCGGTTCCTCTCTCCGACGTTGGCTTGAAGAGAGACGTGCAACCCAGGGAGTTGCATTGTCATTCTTGGGCTTATTCAATAGGTTTGTTTGCTGCGATTATGTTGCAGCTGTGTCGGGTAGTCCTCTGTTACTGTTGTTGCTTTAATTTGCTGAGGAAACTTTAATTTGCCTGAGGAAACAAATTTTTCATGTTACTGCAATGGTTTAGTAATTTCGGTGATTTTCTAGGATTCCTTTTTTTGCATTAGGGTTTAGGTAACGCACCTTTGCCGCAGTTAACGTACGGGTATTCTGCTTTTGAACCTTCTCCTTTGTCGAGAGCAGTGCAACTCCAGTTAGTTGCATTGTGTTCTTGGCCTTCAATGGTGTGCTCCGTTTGATAGATTTTCCTTTGCTGCGTTTCTGAATATCTACGCTACTGGGCTTCTTCTTTGAGACATTGATTATAGAAGCTTGAAACAGCCCTGTGAGTTGTTTTCTGGTTCAGTGAGATTTGTTTCGACAACTTAAGTGTGTTGTCTTAATTCTGCTGCTACTATTTGGTTTGGGATTCTATATTGCTATAATGAAGTGGGTACAGTTGCTGAGTATGGTATTGTGCTTGTGCTTTGCTGTATTGTGCTTTGCTGAAAGTAGTAGTTTGTAACAAGTTGAGCATGATTAACATCTATGCTCCAACTTGAGGGGGAGTGTTAAGGATTAGTTGTAAACAGAATTCTATTAAGAGTTAGATTCCTAATTAGTTTATGATTTGTATTCCTAAATAGCTATAGGAATTCCTTATATATAGACCTATGAAATCGATTGATGAGATAGAAGAAATACAATTACAATATATTCTCTCAACAAATACCAAGGCTGATATAATATAAATTTCTGCTTTTGCTGATTAAACAAGCTCTTTGAATTGTGAGAACTCATAAAAGCTCTCAGAATTCTGACAGTCTTGTACATATTCTTTTTGCAGATGGGGATCAACACTGTTGATTCATCAGTCTCTGGTCTGGGGGGTTGCCCATATGCTAAGGGGGCTTCTGGTAATGTTGCTACTGAAGATGTCATTTACATGCTCAATGGCCTCGGAGTTGAGACCAACGTAGATCTCCAACAGGTCATGTTGGCAGGGAATTACATCTGCAAGCATCTGGGACGCTCATCTGGCTCAAAGACAGCTACTGCCTTGAGCAAAATCACAGCTCATGCATCTAAACTTTGATGTATACAGAATCGCGTTATCAGTTTCCATCGAGATGCATGTGAAAATGTACTGCTTTCATAATAAAGTATAATCACAGGTATTTATCATTCTGTAATTTTAAATCATCTTTGCTCTTGTTTATATTTCATCTTTATTTTTCAAATCTTCATCTTTTCGCATGCATGTGAAATTAATTACCCCTCCTGTTATGCGTGGCCTTTGCTGGTAAATGATGTAGATAGTCGATGACAGTCGGCTGAACGTATTCTGATACTAATGACAGGTGAACTTCTGAAGTGGATGCATTATTTTAAATCATCTTTGCTCTTGTTTATATTTCATCATTATTTTTCAAATCTTCATCTTTTCGCATGCATATGAAATTAATTACCCCCCCCCCCCCCCCCTTGTTATGCGTGGCCTTGCTGGTAACCCCCCCTTGTTATGCGTGGCCTTTGCTGGTAAATGATGTAGATAGTCGATGACACTCGGCTGAACGTATTCTGATACTAATGACAGGTGAACTTCTGAAGTGGATACATTACTTTTGGGGTATCACTTTGTAAGAAACATTTGATATAATCTTTCTTAAGGTGCTGCACATTCTAGTAAGAATGGAGCCGTTGGGTGTTTATGAAACTATTACTCTTCCAATATGAATAATGCTGTATCTTTGGATTCTGGGGATGTGTTGTATGAAGCAAAAAAGATAACACAGCACTTCAAAACCTTGGGAGGAAATTTATTAGTAATGAAAATGTTGGCCCTCAGGTAGGGTCTCTCCAAATGTGCAATGGGAGCAATTTTTTTAGCCAAGAATGCGAGATAATTTACTTGGCTTTTTTCTTTTTCTTAAAAAAAAGTAATGGAAGTAGAAACTCGTATAGATCAAACATGAAAATTTAGTATTGTACTTAATAGAGTTCGTTGATATTTTCTCAAATCAAAAGAATTGTTTATATTTTTTGAATAAAAGAATTAAAAGTGAATGATATAATATATAGTAGCAGCTAGTCCTAATTGATTATAGCAGCAAAATGATTTCTCTGAATCTTGTATATGTAAATTGCTTTTTAAGAACATGAAGGAAGGAATGAGTAAGGAACAAGGCAAACCATTATGCCTTAATAACAGAAATAAGGAAGGAATAAGGCATACCGTGAGACTCCGTTGATGGAAGATTGACATTTACAAATTAAGATCTAATTATTTAACCAAATTCACGAAGAAGGGATTAAATCCTCACAAAAGAGGAAAAAAAAAAAAATTCAAATCTGAAAATAAAGCAACAATTAAGAGACAAAGAAAAGATAGATATGAGTTTGCTAAAAGCAAATAAAGATTAGAAAAAAGATTGAGATGAGTTTACTAAAAGCAAATAAGGTTAGAAACAAAACAAATAGTACAAAAATTAAAATTAGAATTAGATGACTAATGGAAATTGAAACTATTATTATCGAGAACTAGTCATAAACCTATGCCATGTATGAATTGTATAATTTTATATACTTTTTAATCAATTTGAATAGAGTAATTTTTTCAAACAATTATTGCGATTTATATTTGTATTGATTTAATTTAAATTTGATTAAATAATGAAAGATGAAATTTTATGCTCCTTGTGAAATTTTCAAGTAATAAATTAAAATATATATTTTCACGATAAATTATTGTAATTCAATTGATATGATTATTTATTTTTCCTTTTAAAATTCTTATATATTCAATTAAATACTTATTAATTTTAGTAACTTTTATAATTAAATAATTAAATGAGTTATAAGAAGATTTAATTGTAATGTAATAAAATTTTAATGAATATAAATTATATTTTAATTCATCAATTAACTACGTTATTAACTCCATTATTCAATGTTTATTAATTATAATTCCATTAGATTTCCTTAGTTTATAACTCAATTATTTAATAAAAAATTTACTATTTATTAAATTTTAATGTCCATTAGTTTTTGTAGCTCCATTATTTAATAAAAAAAACTTAATGTATATTAAATGAAAAAAAAAGATTAATCAGAATAAACAAGGTAAAAAGCCACCAATAAGGTGTTGATTAATGTTGTAAATAACATTAATCTCTGTTGGACTGAAAACACAAGTTTAATGTTCAAAAAGCTGTTGATCCGAGGAAAATTAAATCTCTTGATTATAAAAAAAAAAGCCACATCATCATTTCATAAATAAGTGAGGTTTTTAATAAATATATTTTGTGTAATCAGGTAAAGATCAATGAACGATTCATCGCGGTCTGATATGTGGTTGGAGAGCGCTGGTGTGGCATTCTTGTGCTGCTGATATAAGATAACATGGTTGATACTCAAGGGAGGTGACAACATGAAGTAATTGAATAACCTAAATTCTTATTTTCAAAACCAAACCAATTGAAATTAAATTGAAAAGTCAAATAATCAAATTTTAATCATTGAAATATTTTCCATTAATAATTTAATCTTATAGGTGAAGGAATAGTTGAATAAATATGAACCATTTTTTTTATATAAACCACCAATATCCGAATCCTATTATTAGGGACCGCCTAATTTGGCTCAGGTTTTGTTACGGTTAAGGTTTTTCGCCCCTCCCTACGAATGCATTTAGTGGAAATCGAATCCGAGAGCTCTTTTCACATACGCAACCTGAGTTGCCAATTGAGTCACAACCCGTAGGTTCATCTTTGAATTATCTTCAAGTAATTGATAAAGTACCTTTTTATCACATCGGGTTAGTTTTATGCAAATAAATTAAATTATTCGCTATATTTTAGACATTGAAAGTTAGGATTTGTAGTTGATTAAAATTGAATTTCAGAGGAAAATTTTGTTGATTAATAAAATGGCTTCTAAAATCAGATATTAAGCTAAGAGATGAAGTAAGGAAATTAATGAAATCGAACTTGAAAGTAAAAAAAAAAAAAAGAAGCAAAGCTTCATCTTTCTTGGCTTAGGAAGGTTCAGCCACTCATGGAAAAATTGGAAAAATGATGATTTTACTTTCGAAATAACATTTACCAGTTCAAATAATTATAATTAAGCTATGTTAGTTGTGCCTAAAAATTTAGTTTATGTTAAGGAATTTTAGGCTAAATTACATATAACAATTCATAAATGAAAATTTAGCCTTAAAAATATTATCAAAGCCCTAGAATGTGTTAGTCGTTTAAATTTATATGTGAATATTAAATCAGATTGATCAAATATATTATCTCACTTTATTATGTCAAATATGTGTAATTTTATGGATATTATCATTTATGGGAAAATTACGATTGTGAATTTATGATTAGAATAGTTATTTAAATATATTAATTGTTGATAAATATGAATAGAAGATGGAAAATATTTAAGATATGGATTATGTTAAGATAATTAGATCAAATAGGATTTTGGGTGTAACATTGGAATTAATTGTGATGGAGCATGAGATTTGAATTTTTGAGGTAAATTCTTGATGGATGGGCTATATGATATTGTATTGATTATTGTAATTTTAAAAGAGGCGAGCCAGTGTAATTTTAGGGAGATACTATTGAAATTTCAATAGAATAAATATAATTATTTAGGACGTAAGTTAAATAATTGAGAGAAAATATAATAGACTAATTTATAAATTCTTATTTAGTTTTCTCCTTGAATATTTTAGGATAATGGAAGACACCATGGTGAAAGTAGATGCTCATGGATACGAGCGCTGCCAAATGAATAGTATTAGATAATTCACATCATCTATACATACATACATGTGGTAATGCCATCCAGGGATGGATGTTATATTTTCGTATGAAAATATATATTCCTTTCATAAAATTATGGTGAAATTGGATTAGTGTGATTAATAGTGGATTACTTGTGATTTGTGTGTAGTTGGAATGATGTGAATCACTTGGGATTAAAAAGTATGAACATAGTGAGAATGTTGTCTGTTGATTGTAAGAAGAGAGAGTGACACTCTCCTTGTGTACTCGTAACTAGACACGTGTCATCATTATTTGATAACGAGGTGGGACTCATCTAGTTCAAATGGGGTTAGGCTCCTTGTATGCATATAATAAGAACCATAGAATATAGATTATGATTGTAAAGCATACTTGAATGTGAACCAATTTCCATTGATGTGTTTACATGAATTTGACATGTTTGTAATTGATTATGTGCATATTACATATATTTGTCCATTCATGAATAGCGAGATGACTATAAAGAAGTATAATAACATTCATATATGATTGTGTGCAGTGAGAGAGTTATCTAATTCTATTCATTAAGTTTAGACACCCATCTTAGTTTAATATTTTTCCGTGTTGCAGAAATTTAATGGTTTATTCAAATAGCAATCAGATTAGGGCATTGAGTTAATGCAATATATTACATAGTGGTAAATGTTCCTTAGTGATATATAAAAAAATAAAGAATATAATTTTTATTAGAGTTTCACAATTGTAATTAATATGGATTGTAAATCAAAATATTTATAAACTATGTCTAGATGATAAATAGTATTAGACGAGCGTGAAACTCGACGCGATGCGTTGGTTAATTATCATAAATTGTATATTGATATATATAATTTTAAAATTGTGTTGTGATATAATGAAATATGATATTTTATAATAAAAATTTATGTATGCTTTTTTTACATTTGTTGACTTCATACATAATAATTCAACTTGTGGACAACATTATAAATACTATATTATCATTATCATGTAGACATAATTATATAATAAACCATAACAATATCTATATGGTTTGATAATGTCACCTAGTAGAGTTTCGTCAAAATATTTGTTACCATACAAATATAAATATTTTTTTTCAATCAAATATGATTGAAAGTCCATATATATTCATTTTTGTCTTAGTTAACACAATTGCATTATAAATTTTTTAACAATATAATTTTATTTTTAAACTATAATAATTCTAAAATAATTTATAAATAATAATAGCAATTAATATAATTGTTAAAATTAATTTATAAATAATAATAGCTAATATGATTCTGTTAATGATTTGAATTTCTTTATTATTCTTTAAATTATCACTTCATAGGACCATTATATTTCATAGATTAGTTAAAATAAATATAAACTATAATAATTCTAAAATAATTTATAAATAATAATAGCAATTAATATAATTGTTAATGAAATTAATTTCATTATTAATTTATTCTTTAAATTATCATCATAGACAATTTATATTAATAATTAGTTAAAAATAAATATATAAAATACTATAGATATTATGAAACTTTATTTGTTTTTTTTATATGTATATATACTAAGTGCCGTGTACGTCCAACTTTATATCGTCAAAATTAGTGTTTTATGCATTATCTTTAAAAATTTATTTATTATAATTTTATAACTCATTATTTTGAGTAAAAATTAATATTTTATCCTTTTAATACCTCAACTAAAGTTTTTAATACGAAAGCAAGCAAAAAAAAAAAAAGAGAAGTCTTTTAGTGTGAATCTATTTGATATATAATATTTTTCAAATGAAAATTGACAATTTATATAAATAAAATCAGAAATAATTTTTATTAATTTTTTATCTTTGAAATTTTAATTTGAGTCAATGATATAAAAATATAAAATTTATAGATATTATTATTATTTTTGGATTAAATTAAATTATCAATTATTATTTTATTGATGAACTAATAAAAAAATATTATTCTAAAATTAGTATTAGTAGAGCGTTATATAAGTTTAAAATATTAATCTATAATTTGTTTAGAAAAATTATTATCGGCATTTAATAGTTA